CCACCGAGGTGTCCCCGAGGCGGACAGCGGTGACACCGAGCAGCCGCGGCTGTGTGGCCTCCAGCGGAGGGGGCTCGGTGGTCTCGTGGGGTCAGGAGATGCTCCCCGGCCCCTCTCTCCGGTCCAGGGGGAATCCAGAGGGAGCTCCCCGCCTCTCCCTGATTCCACGGGCCGGGACAGCCCCGCAGGCCGGAGGGGACAGCCAGGGGACGCCCCCCGAGCTCGGGGATGGACCCTCCTTGGGGGAATTTTCCCACTGGGAACGGAGCAGCCGAGGGGAGGGTTTGACCCTTCTCGCAGGGTCCGTTTTGCCCATTCCACACTTGCCCAAATTGCGTGAAATCCCCCCCAAAACCCTGCAGGGAGTAGCTCCGGTTTGTCCGACAGGGCCGGCGGCTGCACGAGAATGAGCAGAATCGGGTTTATTGCGGGATTTTGGCGGTGCAAAGGGGGTCGGGACACAGAGGGGGGGGCGCAGGAAGGGCTCAAGGCGGAGCCGCTCGCGGTGCTGCTGCCCAGCGAGGGGAAAAGGGCTGCTGGGAGCGGGGACAAGGGGTCAGCAGGGAGGGAGGACACCCGAGTGGCCGTGATCCCCTGGCCTGTGGCCCGAGCCGGCCGGGAATGCACGGCCGGAGCCGGGGGGACAGCAGGGACGGAGCTGGGGGGATGCAGGAGCTGCCCCCCGGGATGGGCAGGGGTCAGTGCTGGGGGGCTGGGGATGTTCCATCCCATCCAATTCTCTTCCAGCTGCTGTGGCCCGCTCACCCTGTCCCCACGGCGTCCCCACGGTGTCCCCACGGTGTCCCCGGTGCCACCACCCCCGCCTGGGACACCACAAGCTGCGTGGGGCGGGGTCCCGGGTCCCCAAAACCTCCCGGGACAGGAGCCCCAGGGAGGGAATTCCCATCCCCAGAGCTTCCGTGGCTCTGCCACGCTCCAAGGAGATGTCACTGTCCCCAGGGGCGAGGGGACAACGCCACCGCGGCAGCGTGACACCCAGCGCTGGGGGACAACCGGCTGCGGCTACAGCCAGGACAGTCACAGTCACAGGGTTTGTGTCTCTCAGCACGAAGTCGTGTCGCTGTCCCCTGTCCCCACGGGCTGTGACAAGAGCCCCTCGTGCGCCTCAACAGCCGCCTCCCTTTGTCCCCAACCCCGCCGGGCTCAGCCGAAGCCGAGAAGGCACCAAGAAAGAGAGAACCCAGCCCCAAAAATCATCACGCTGGGGGCGTCCCCGGCTCAGGCCGTGCCCGAGGGCGCTGCCGGGGCCGCGGGCAGCCCCGGGACGGCTCTAGGGGTGGAGTACCTGCTGCTGGCCCTGGATCCGCATGTACTCCATGCGCTGCTTGATGTGCTTGCCCTTGTCGGGGCTGCCCTGCTGGCCCTGCTTCAGCCGCGACGCCGGGTTCACCACCTTCATGGCCGGGATGGAGACGCCACCGCTCTGCCGGGACACAAAATCCAGGGGAAAAGGGTTAAAATCCTTGAATCCTTGAATCCTGGTGGAGCCGGCAGCGCTGGGTGCCTGGGGCTGAGCCACCCCTGCCGGCACAGCCCGTGCTGGCGAGGATGAGGAGGATGAGGCTCCCCCGTGTGAGCTCCAAACCCCGCCGGGACTTACCGGGAGCCACCCGAGAGGGGGTTTAGGGCAGACACGGCAAAAACCGGGACACCGAGGGCGGGACAGGACACCCGAGAGAGAGGGAAAGAGGCGGCGGCAGGCAGAAGCAGATTCCAGGTGGGAACGGCGGCAGTGGGAATACAGAGGAGTTTATTGACGGCTGTGCACAGGAGCGGATACAGAGAATCGCCAGAGCACCCCCGCGTGTCCCCTCCCGTGCCAGGGACACCCCAGGTCCCCTCCCGGTGGCCTCGTGCCTGTCCTGTTCCAGTGGGGACATCCCAGGTTGGGAAATCCATGGCTCGGGTGAACCCCTGGGATCCTCAGTGGTCCCCAGGGGTGGGACACGGGGGATTCCCACACCCCACAGCACGAGGGAATCAAAAAATCATGGAAAATTCCTCAGCTGGGAGGGTGGAGGATCATATCAGAGTCCAAATCCCAGCCCTGGAGAATCCCACATGCGCCACAGCATCCCCGGCATTCCCGGCGCTGGGAATCTTCCAGAATCCTCGGGAGGTGACAGCAGCCCTGCCCTGCCCCGCTCTGCTTTAGGACTGACCCATCACAGCCTCTCCTGCCTAACCCTGAGCCTGGCTTTGCCCCAAATCCATCCCCGCAGCTCCGCTTCCCGTTTTCCAGGGAAAAAACATCTGGAAAAATTGCAGTGCACCCCCGTTCTCCCAGCGAGAGCCCCCCGAGGAGCGGGAGAACGGCTCCAAATGGAAAAGGAGATTTATTCCCCAGCGCTGGCTGTTAATAAAGGAGCAGGTTGACGTCGCAGCGGAGCTCAGGGCATTTTTCCCCTCCCTGTTTTTCCCAGATATTCAGCTGGATTCCAGCGGAAAGCAATTTGGGATGGCTTCAGGGAGCTCACGCTGCGGTTTAATTAGGAGAAACATCTGCTGGGTTCCGGCTGCCGCTCGTTAGGAGAGGGGTTTTTATGCAAAATGGGGAAATTGAGAGCGGTGCATCGGCATCCGGAGCGCCCAGCCCTGGCCAATCCTGTGGGATGTCCATGGACTCCCTGGGATGCTCCTGGATCCCGTGGGATGGTCTTGGACCCCTTGGGATGCTCCTGAATCCCTTGGGATGCTCAAGGACCCCCTTGGGATGCTCTTGGACCCCTTGGAATACCCTTGGACCCCTTGGGATGCTCAAGAACCCCTTGGGATGCGCTTGGACCCTTTGGGATGCCCATGGACCCCTTGGGATGCCCATGGACCCCTTGGGATGCCCTTGGACCCCTTGGGATAATCTTAGACCCCTCAGGATTCTCATGAACCCCTTGGGATGCTCTTGGACCCCTTGGGATGCTCTTGGACCCCTTGGGATGCTTTTGGACCCCCTGGGATGCTCATGGACCCTTTGGGATGCTCAAGAACCCCTTGGGATGCTCAAGGACCCCCTTGGGATGCTTTTGGACCCCTTGGGATGCCCATGGACCCCTTGGGATGCCCATGGACCCCTTGGGATGCTCCTGGACCCCTTGGGATGATCTTGGACCCCTTGGGATGCTCTTGGATCCCTTGGGATGCCCATGGACCCCTTGGGATGATCTTGGACCCCTTGGGATACCCATGGACCCCTTGGGATGCTCTTGGACCTTTTGGGATGCCCATGGACCCCTTGGGATGCTCTTGGACCCCTTGGGATGCCCATCCTGGACCTGCTGCTCCAAAACCCTGCCAGGGCAGAAGAATCCACCTCATCCCGGGTCTAATTCCAGGACGGGATCAGCCAGCACCACCCGGCCCCAACTCCCTTCCCGCTGCCAGCTCCTGCCTCGCTCATTCCTGCCCTTCCCAAACCCCTCCAAGTGCCAGCGAGAAGAGGAAGATTCGCTCTCCGCCTCGGCCCTGCCTGGAGGAGGAGTCACAGAGAGGGAGCAGGCGGAGGAAGAGACATCAGAGTGAATCCAGGGCAGAGCAGGGCACGGGGGAGAAGAGAAAATGAACCTGGCGAGTGCCGGGGGGCAGCTGCGGCTTGGGGAGCAGCGCTGGCTTGGTCCTGCTCGGACTCTTGGCAGCGCCATCCTTGGCCTGGCTGAGGTCCAGCGCGGTGTCACCGTCGCAGCCTCCGAGCCCGAGGTCCCCCAGGCTCTTCCCGGCCTCCTCGGATCCCAGCGCGTCCTTGGGGAACGCCAGTTCCACGGCGGGGTGGCTGCTGATCTCGCTGATGGTCATTTCCAGCTCGCGGATGGTTTCCTCCAGGCTGTCCAGCCTCTGGTAGGTGTCCTCATAAATCTCCTTTTTGCCCGGGGCCGGGGGGAGCCCGGGGGACAAGCGGCCTCTGCAGAGCCCCTCCGCCACTTTCCCCTCCGTTCCGGGGTCGCCCCCGGCAGCCGGAGCCCCTCCATCCCATCCCGGAGGTGCCGTGGAGTGGCTGGAGCGGGCAGGAATCTGCTCCAGGGGCTGCTCCTGCCGGGAATGTCCCTCTGGATCCGTGCCCGCGGGAATCCCGGCATGCGGCAGCGGGCTCTCCTCTCTCCACGCGGCTTTGGGAGCCCCGCCGGAGCGTCCAGGAGCGAGCCCGGCTCCTCTCTGGGGATCCCCATCGGGAATTTGGGGAATGATCGCGGCACCGATGGAGGGGAGCGCGGCCTCCGCAGCTCCGGCACCTTCCCCGTGGCTCCGAGGAGCCCCGCGACTTTGGGGACAAATCTTGTCGCCTCCTCCTGGCCTGCTGGCAGCGTCCAGAGCCGCGTCCCCTCCTTGTCCCCCCATTTTATCCCTCGGGAAAGGCGCGGCCGCCAAAGGAAACTCCCGGGAGGTGCTGCCGGGGGCCGGCGGGGCTGGAGGGCGTTCCTGTGCCAGCGGGGACTTTGAGGAGCTGCCAGGAGCCACCGCCAGGCCCCTCCTTGTCCCCTCGGGTGGCAGCCGCGCTCCTGCTGCGCTGCCCGGTGCCAGCCACGGCTCCGGCTCGGCTTCGGGGGACGGCGGCTCCGACACCCACTCGGTGAGCACGATCTGGGGCAGGGAGAACGCCCGGCTGGCCGGGGCTGCCAGCGGCTCCTAGGTAGAGAATTCAGACAGGTTAGGGGCCGGGAGACAGCGGGGTCTGACTGGGGAGGCACCACGGGGCGCCACAAATTATTGGGGTCCCCCCCCCACGGCACGGCTGAGTTCCAGAGGAGGGGGTTTGGGGAGGGAGAGGAGGGGTCTCAGCTCCCTCCTGCCCATCCCGCACATCCCAGCGGGATTCACGGCACGGATGGGGGCTGGAGAGGGGCTCAGCTCCCTCCTGCCCATCCCGCACATCCCAGCGGGACTCACGGCACGGAGGGGGGCTGGAGAGGGGCTCAGCTCCCTCCTGCCCATCCCGCACATCCCAGCGGGATTCACGGCACGGATGGGGGCTGGAGGGGGGCTCAGCTCCCTCCTGCCCATCCCATTGCGAGGGGCAGCGTGAACAGGGGATGGAAGGGAATGTTCAGCTTCCTCCTCCAGCCCTGGTATCCTACCGGGATCCAGAGAATGGACAGGGACTGGACAGGGATGTCCAGCTCCCTCGCCAGCCCTGACTTCCCACTGGGAGCATGAACAGGGACTGGACAGGGATGTCCAGCTCCCTCGTCCAGCCCTGACATGCCACCGGGAGCACGGATAGGGACTGGACAGGGATGCTCAGCTCCCTCCTCCGGCCCTGAAATCCCGCAGGGATCCAGAGCATGGACAGGGACTGGAAGGGAATGTCCAGCTCCTTCCTCCCACCGGGATCCAGAGCATGGAGAAGGACTGGACAGGGATGTCCAGCTCCCTCCTCCAGCCCTGATATCCCACTGGGATCCAGAGCATGGAGAAGGACTGGACAGGGATGCTCAGGTCCCTCCTGTCCAGCCCTACATCGAACTGGGATCCAGAACATGGACAAGGACTGGACAGGGATGTCCAGCTCCCTCCTCCAGCCCTGAAATCCCACTGGGAGCATGGATAGAGGCTGGACAGGGATGTCCAGCTCCCTCCTGTCCAGACCTGATATCCCATTGGGAGCATGGATAGGGACTGGACAGGGATGTCCAGCTCCCTCCTGTACAGCCCTACATCCCACCGGACCCAGAGCACGGACAGGGAATGGAGGGGAAGCTCAGCTCCCTCCTCCTGTCCAGCCCTGACATCCCACTGGAGCACAAACCCTTGGAGCAGAATCCAAGCCGGTGTTTCTGCGTTTTTGGAAATCCCGCTGCCACCAGCAGAGAATCCAGCCGGGATTTCTCCGTGCTGGCACAAACTGGGGGCACTGGGGCAGAGCTCCGGCGGGGGCTGAGCCATCCCAGCCGGGCTGCCGAGGGCCGCCCGGCCTTTCCCACCCCGAGGGGCCCAAAATCCCCCGGAAAATGCTGCTCTTCCTGCCGCACTTCCCTGCTCCCGTCCCAGGAATCGCTGGGATGCCTGAGGGAATCTGGGGGTGCGGCTGAGCCCATCCCAACTGGCCCAGGAGAGGGGGACACCCAGAGGGACCAGACCCTCCCCCAGGAGCTGAACTGCCGGGATGAGCCAGAGCTCCCCTCGCGTCTGGCATGGCAGGAGCTCCTGTCCCGCTCTTTGCCCCCTCCTGGACATTCCCTGCTCCATCCCAGCCGCTCTCCAGGTATTTTCCTCCTGCTTTTCCTACCCTGAGCATTCCCTGCTCCATCCCAGCCGCTCTCCAGGCATTTTCCTCCTGCTTTTCCTACCCTGGGCATTCCCTGCTCCATCCCAGCCGCTCTCCAGGCATTTCCCTCCCGTTCTTCCCATCCTGGCTATCCCCTATTTAATCCAGGCCACTCTCCAGGCATTTTCCACCTGTTCTTCCCATCCCGGGTATTCCCTGCTCCATCCCGTCTTCTCTCCAGGTGTTTTCCTCCTGCTCTCCTCACCCTGGACATTCCCTGCTCCATCCCAGCCACTCTCCTGGCATTTTCCTCCTGTTTTCTCCACTCTGGCTATCTCATTTAATCCAGGCCGCTCTCCAGGCATTTTCCTCCTGCTTTTCCCACCCTGAACATTCCCTGCTCCATCCCAGCCTCTTTCCAGCCTCTCTCCAGCCCAGAGAGAGCCCAGCGTGGATCTCCGGAGTGCTGCGGTGGGGCCGGACGTGATTCCAGGCAGTCCCAAACCACCGGACCGTGCTCCAAACCCTTCCCTTCCCATCCTCCGCATGCACTCGGAGCTCTCCCGTGCCCCGCCCGCCCCCCGGGGCACCCAGCGTGGCGTGAGAGCGGCGGG